TTCTTCTTTATTTTTGTTGAAAATAAATTTTACAAATTTTAGCATTTTATGTTAATTAATTAAGCATAATCACATTGATTATTGGCTTTCGTAGCACGTGCTTTGTTCACTATTTTTAAATATCTATAATGTGATAAAATTGATTATATATGTAATTAAGGAAAGAATTGTTGTAATCTAAAGATATTTAATTGTTCTACGTTATTAGAATATCCTATGTCTTGTTAATATGATTGTAGCATAATTATTTATTTGGTCATTATTTGAGCAAATAAGTAATTATGCTACAATTAATTGTCCTATGTTATTAGAATATCCTATGTCTTATGTTAACATGTAGCATAATTACTTATTTGGTCATTATTTGAGCAAATAAGTAATTATGCTACAATCACGTTATCTAATCAGTCTTTTCCATGTAATTTAGTTTATAGATTAGATTCTGTTATCGCTATCTTCGGAATACTTGAAACATTAAAAAAATTTCAATCCTTAATTAGTCGAGGAACTACAATATTAAGTTTCAAATGAATGTCTGGCTGTATATCGTTTGAAAGATCAAAGCGACTTTTGGTACAAAATTACGATGTGCAATTTATAGTTTAGTATATAACCGTTACACGATTGTTATGAAGTTATATGGCTTATAATAAATGTTGCAAAGTTTATAGTGTTTTATTAATACGTGCACACGTAGTAGAAAATTAAAAAGTTTTACAAGCCGTTTATTATTTTGAAAACTGTTAGAGATAGCAATGGAATCTTTTTTTCTTTTGTACTTTGTTTCGTGTTTTATAGCTTTAGAACTTTATGGCCTTTCACCTGTCGCCGCTGTCGGATTCCTTAGATGGAAGAGGGTAGGCAAGAATGCACACCCCTCGTTTTTTTCTTATACTCACTTCATAAATCAGTTGTCCGTTTTCTAACAAATAAAAGTATTAACTCTAAGAGTCAACGGAAAATGAATATTTTAAGAAGTTTTTATGTCTTACTTTATTTTGTCATAAAATATGAATGTTCTAGTAAAGTAATTAAGTTTTGAAAGACCTTGATTTAATATTTTCTTTGCAGAACGATGAAAAAAAAAATGATTAATGACTTTTATATTTTTTACTAAGTATAATTATCGTTTTTCGAAGTCATGCATAGGTTTGAAGCTTTTATGCTTTCTTGACATAATAAAAAGAAATTCTCAGGTAGTTTTATTTTACCTTCAAAAGAAGGTCCGCAAGGAAAAGAAAATGCGAAAAGGAAATGCATTTGTCATAGCAAGTAATCTAGGTCAAAATATTGCAGCTGGAATCTTCAAATTTCATAAATAAACTTTCTTTTTTATCATACAACTCTAGCATTTATAAATTTACATAAAAGATAAAATAATTGTTTAAATGTGTATTACTTTTTTATTATAGTTTTAAAGCGAATTTAGTGTAAAAGTTATTAAGCGATATAATTTTTTATTGATAAGTAATAAAAATTTTTGTTCAATTAAATAGAAGAAATCTTATTCTTAGTTAAAACAGATTTTAATATTTAAATATTTGTGTGTAAATTTATATACATACCTGATTCTACAAACCGCACGCCGAAATCTTTTTTGATCTTGAAACGCAATCATGAACAGGACAAGAGTATTGATATTACATTTTAAATTAAGTAATTTAATAATTTTTTGTGTTAATATATATCTTTATAAGAATATTAATAATCTCATATATAATGAAAATCTTAAACTTACAAATAATTTATTGCGAAAAAATATCGCTTCAATCAAGTTTCGAACCCTGATCTCCTGTATTCTGTGCGGGCGTCTTCACCATTCGACTACACAGAAATAAATCACGCACAAATATTTAAACATTTAAGATCTGCTTCATTTGAAAAATAGGATTTCTTTTGTTTAATTGAATTTATTCTTAGTCTGTTATAGATTTTTATATTGTAATTTTTTTATTTTTACTGAGTAAGATTTATTTTAAATGTTCAATTTTTTTATGTTATTATTTTATACAATTGCTGAAGACAATCGTAAAAATGCGAAAAATACTAATAATAACGTAATTAAATTTTTCAAGCGTTGTTATGCTCCTTTCTTTTGTCTCCTTATTTTAATTTTATATTTAAAATTTTTTTTGTTGTAATTGCAATTTTTAAATTTATTTTTTGTAAAAAAAGAACAAAATACTTCAATTTAATAAAATCTAATTAATAGTTACAATAAAAACAAAAACGAGTATATCAATATGCTTAATGCAATATTCGCTAGAAATTTTGAAAACAGCAGAAGTGCGATTCTTCTTAAATGATTAATCATGTGGAAAAAGAAGAATGGAAAAAGAAGAGAATATTATATTGTTTTTTTATATTGTTTTTTATATTTAACTATATCGGCGTGGAGATATTTTCTAAAGCTGATATTTCTATTTTTACAAAAATAAAAAGTCAAGCTTAAGTATATTCCTATGATATATTGTTTCTATATGATAACTTATTATTTTAGAATTAATAATACATATGATAGTATGATATAAATATTTAAAAAGGTTTAAAAATTATTAAATTAATAATGTAATTTTTTATTGATAAAGCTTAATTTAAGAAACTGCACTATCGCATCGTGAATATTGCAAAATTTGCGAAAACCCGGTATTGTAAATAAAAAATTTCTATTTTATGGAAAAATATGGATAAATAATAGAACATGCAGGCAGTTCGTAAGTATACGGGATCCAAGTGCATCTAACAACGCAGCAAGAGATACACATCACATATTGTTCGCGCTGTGAGTACTGCGCTCACATTTCACAACGCATGTTTTAATCCGTTAGCATCAAGGATAGAAAGACGCAATCTTAAGCTACATGTGTATATACGAGTTTACATGTAACTGAACCAGGAACCAAATAGTTTTAATGGAGGTCAACAACAACGAAGCGCTTTTCAACAGAGAATATTGTATACATATCTGTTATATTTATTATTGAACTTTTTGCTAATAAGTTTTGTGCAACTGCACTCACGTATTTGCATGCATTTTCAGAGAAAACAAAGGTAATTCATTGATAAATAAAATTATAAAATTGTTTAGAATTTTAATGTAAATATAATACCTTAATGAAATAATAAGATTAATTTAGTATACATAATAATTTTGATCCTTTATTACGGTGGGTCGTTCATGTCCCGGATTAATTTTCATCACTTTTATAAATTTTCAAAAATTATTAAGTAATTCTACATATATAGTGTACTTAACATCTTTAGAAAATAATTGCAAAATAATTTATATTTATATTAAATAAAAAGAAAAGAGATAAAAATTAATTATTTAGTTT